TCTAACTGCTTGTAGAACTTTGTTCTTCTGTTGAGTTTCTGGAATCTTAACAATTATATGCCTAGGTGTAGATTTTTTTTGATCAAGGCTATTTGGAGTCCTATATGCCTCACCTATCTGTATGTCAAGTTCTTTTCCCCTGCTTTGGAAGTTTGCTGCCATTACTTCTATAAACAGTCTTTTTATGTCATTTACACTCTCTCCAGTTTCTTCTTTGACTCCAGTAAGTCTTATGGTATTCTTCTTTGCATTGTCTAGCACCTGCTGGCTTGATTTCTCATGTTCCCTTACAATTTTGAAGCAATTTTTCTTTTCCTGTTCACTAATTGCAATTTTATCTTCTATATCTGAAATTCTGTTCTCAAATTGGCTCATTCTGCTATGTAGATTTTCCGTGGCATTTTTGATCTCCTGGAAATCTCTTTGCATCTGTTTTATGGATTCCATTTGTATCCTATGTTGTGATTCCATCATGTTTCTCAGCTCCTCTCTAGATGAGCACAATCTCTGCTGTTATCTGAGAAATTATTTCTGATTTCATTTTTTCCAAATCTTCTTTTGTTGCCAGTTCAGGAAGTCTAGGTGGTTGAGTGTCAGAGTGTTCCATCTCATTTCCCTTTGGGGTTGCTGTAGGTGATCTGGAAATCTGGTTTTGAGACTTGTGTATGTGTCTCCTCATTTCGACCTGGGGGGTGGAGAGGTGCTGTTGGTGCCCACATGGCTCACCTCCTCTGAGCTGAGACTAGTGGGACAGCGGCTCAGAAGCCCTTTCCTCTTGGTCAGGAGCGGCAGGATGGATGGTGGCCTGCAAGCCCCTTCCTCTGGCCTGGGAGCAGCGGGATGGATGGCAGCCCGGAAGGCCATTTCTCTGGGATGGGTGCGGTGGGACAGTAGCCTGGAACCCCCTTTGTCTGGGCCCTGAGCTGCAGGACAGAGCAACAGTGTCCCTTGTCCGAGTCCGGAAATTGTCCTGGGAGGTCTGTGTGCTGTCTCTTTTCTTCCAAGTTTGTCTCACAGGTGGAGCAGTGGATCCGATTCACATCCAGTTTGGACACCAAATGTAGGGAACAGGGAAAGGGGATATTACTAGAACCTATGCAGTAAGTCCTATTCTCCTGTGAGCCATGATGACACATGATGAATTAATTAATATATAGACTTCAAATGAGACGTAGAGAAAAAGCTGAGCTTTGGCCTGATCAATGCTGCTCTGGGCAGCAAAGACCCCAGATCTTGAGCTTGCCACACCTTTATTCGGAACATCAGCAGAAACAAAGGTAGCAAATGACTCAGAGAGTGACATGACTTCCAACTCTTAAGTCAGATACCTCAACTTAATTTTTTTGTTTTGTTTTGTTTTTGGTACCTGGGATCAAACTCGGGTCCTTGGGCTTGTGAGGTAGATGGCGTAACCACTGAGCTAAATCCCTGGACCAAGTTAATGTTTTTAACTATATCAAAAATAGGAATTAAAAAAGCACCAACCTCAAGTTGAAAAACACAATTGAAAAATTAGAACAATAAATTTTAGATTTTCATGTTACTAGGAAGTTTCATGTCAAAGTCAACCCCGTGTTAATAAGCCTATGAGGGACAATAGTCCTCAGAAGTTTCATGGAAAGTATCACTCAAATTAGTGAAATTGTTAGAGATATAAATATAAATCCTAAAGTTTCCTGAGGCATAACTGTTTTGAATCTATAACTTTTTTAAATTGATTAACTAATTAATTTTCCAAGATAAAAAGAAATCGAACATAATTTAACATTTTCTAGGCCAGTTGTCATTCCCATTTTTATGCTACTTTCTGTAAGAATCCACTTATTCTAGCCAGGTACTAGTTTAAAAACTAGATTATACTTATTGGAATTGTACACAAAATAAGCATGAGAAAGACCTAAATGAAGGACTTCAAGATGTTTTCTGATACTAACTTACTTAAAAAAATGGGTAATGAATTTGGTGACAACGTTTTTTACTGCTTATAGGTCCTTCAACCTATCTTCTTGTTCTCAAGTTATGCCTCACAGAAAAGATGCTGCACTTGCCCAAGCATAACCAAACACCAGGTTCATTACATTTCTCCATCCCATACCTGCAGATAATCTGCCATGGTAGAGACGCAGCCATAGAGTCCTAATCACAATGCTGCTGATGTCACTGCAAAGTCAATATGACTTCTCATCCTAAAAGACTGGTCATAGTAACATGGTCATATCAACTTTATATCTTTGCTATCAAAATTATTAGAGCTTTTCATCATGTCCTTAATAAAGTAATTTCCATACCCTTGTGTCTAAGATACTAGTTCCAGAAAGGCAATATTGCTCATATATTATAAATTCTTACCCTTCCAAAAGATACCTTCAATATACTGAAATCCACTCATCCAAAACTAATTTAAGAAAACTTCCAGTTAAATATGGCAGATGAACTATATGTTTCTCTTTCTCCCCACCACACCCCCTCTCAAAGAACTAAACAATTTTAACAATTTTCAGAAAATTGGAAGTGAATGAAAAATAGTGAAGAATCAGCACAGCTCAGGCTCAGCTTACAACCCAGGAGACATAAAAAAGGAATGCTAATGAGAGAAGCAAGCCTATTTTCATCCCCAGAGCCCTAGAAAGACTTAAGGCTTAAAGAAAAATGCAGAGGTCAGGAGGCAGAACCCAAAACAGGAAGATGGGCTGAACATCCCCAGATCCTATGCTGCTCCCTGTAGAGCCAATGAAGAACCAGAGGTTTATTTTCTGGAGCAATGTGGCTTCAGATTGTACAGTGAATCGAGGGTAAAGGGTAAAATGTGTGGTTAAACAGAAGATATAAGTAACACTGAGCACAGTTCAGTGGAGCCCCCAGCCCCCCTCCTCAGCACTGCCTCCAGAAGAATTACAACTCCTCACTCCTTTCCAAACCAGAATGCTTCTCTGGGAAAATTGAGTGACCTCTGTAGAAGACTTTCAGTTACTGACATGTGAGGATTTGCTCCAACAACAAAGCCAGTTTATAGCCTGTCATCTAGTAGTGAGCAGCAAGCACTGTAGTATGTCTGTCTCACATGCTACTTCCACATAGCATCAGCGTTTTGGTGCCTCACCCTTAAACATGATAGAATAGCCCAGAGCATTCAATAGTTGTCTTTTATAAAAGCTCCTAGAGTAGCAAAGAGAGACAAAACATGAAATAAATTTCAAAAAATTAGTAAAGATTAAAAGAAGCAAAATTTTTAAATCCGTATTACTCCTAGGAGAGAAAAGGTACATATTGTAATAGAAACAATGCTATGAAAATCCAAAATGAAATAAAAACCAGCCCTAGAAGATGTAAAAATAAGATAGCTGCAATTAAAAATTCAGTTTAAGAACTGGATAAATTATTCTCTCAAAAGTAGGACTAATAATAAAAACAGAATATAGGGGAGAAAAGAATCTAGACAGAAGGTACAAGACTGAACTACATGGAGTTTCATGAGGTAAGAGAAAAAACAAGGGAACGGGTGATATCAGAAATTTTCTAAAAGTTTTCAAGAATTGAAGTTCCTAAGTCTTCATACTTAAAAGTGTCCACTGAATATCCAGCACATGGTATAAAGAAGTCCACACAAAGTAATATTTCAAATGAAATTTCAGACAAGACATTACAAGAACATCCTAAGTGCCACTGTTGTCTTCTGGTCCCTCCCAATGCTTAGGGTTACAGAAAAGAGCCATAAAAGTTTGTATGAATGGCACCTCAAACCATTATCTTCTGTTAACTGGGGAAAGGTATTGTAATTGAGACTTATTAGAGTTTTGGCTCATTGTTCACTGTCCCATATTTGTATTGGGGGTCAGGCTGTATTGTTAAAAAAAAAAAACTTTTAGGTTATCAAGCTCAAACTCTTTGAGTGATTTCAGATACAAGCCACAGGGGAGTCTAGTTGAATAGAATGGATATTTCCCTTATTGTCTTCAAGTTTTCCAGGAACTGAGTCCTCAACCAACTTGGGGTTGTCCCTCCCCAAACTTAGACTTGCGATTACACGCATAGGGGTGTCCTCCTGAGTGCCTGACTGAGCTATCAGTGGTCTCTGGGCAAACATGCCACCAGTGTCATGATCAGGGTTCCCGAGACTTTTTCCACGCACTGTGATCCTTAAGGCCCCGGTTAAAGACTTTAATTTTTAGTACCAGTCTAGATTTGTGACCTATATTAACTGAACTGAGCACTTGTGAAGAGAATGTGAATCACAGCCTAAAGAGTCAACTGTGTGAGAGAAGAATTTAACCAGGGCCCACAACCCCTAGAGTTACTGTGAGTCATTAGTTTAAAGGCACCGAAAAGCTGGCACAGTTCTACAGCCCATGGATAGCTGACCTCTAAAGGGGATGGTATCCGGAAGGCGTTATGAGAATTTAGTGATTATCAGGGCAGCCCCAGTTCTGAATACCTTGGGGGTTTTTTGTTGTTGTTTTGTTTTGTTTTCTTCTCCTTGGTTTTTAACTAAGAGCCTCTCTCTCTTTGCCTGGACAGAGAGAGCCCTGGGCTGAGGTCCAGGCTCCACCCTGTCCCGCTGTGGTGCAGCGCGTCCAGCTGGTACGGGATTTTGGGGGGGCCAAGTCCTTGAGCACAGGGGTCACCTCAGGCCCTGGCCGAACACAACAAGCGTCGCATAAGTACCCCAATACTACTCCATCTTCGCTGTCCCACACAGGGGAGGAGAGGAAGGCAGGACCAACTCGGGCAGATGACGTCAATCTACCCGCGACTGGAAAAGCAGAGCGCAAAGGGGGTGTGGCCAGCGGTGCTCCTGTCTCGCCCACGCGGGAGCTTGTAGGCGCAGTCCCTGTTTTACCCCGCCCCGCGCTGCTTGAGAGGCTGAGACTGAGAGGAGGCTCTGGACAGCAACAGAGCTGCGGGAACTTGTCTTTTCTCCGGGCCTCAGCTGCTAGTCAGCGAAGAGAAATCAAACGTTTTTTCCTACGTGAACTGAGTGAAGGAGCCCTAGGAGAAACCTTTGCCTGCAAAGGTAGGAACCTTTTCTGTGCTTTCCTTGGGGTCCTGTTTCTATGTAAAAAGAGGAGCTAACAGCAGTGGACTTCAGATAGGGTCTTTATAGGTAAATTACAATTTTGGGTGCACAAACTGAGATCATAAACCTGCGTGATGTATGGCTTTGCCTTCTACCTGGCAAAACCTCAGAGTCTTCCAGGACCAGCTTGTCCTGTCAGAGTCTGAAATCTGTGAGCTGCCTTGAAGCAGACCAAGGTATTGAAAATAAACCAAAGATGGGGAAAAACACTCACCATTCTCCTGGCTGACAAGCCAAGATGCTACCAGACCTGTCTCTGTCTCACCTGATCCCAGTTTCTGCATATCCCTAACAAAGAACTGAGCAGGACACACGGAAGTTGTGAGAAAGACAGATTTATGAAAGGAAAATGCACCCCTCAGAGAAGAGCACACTGACAAGGCTCCAGTGAGTTTGACACAGAGCAGCCCTGTCTGTTTTAGGTCTGAGGCTAAAGTAACCTTGGGAGAGTTCTAAACAGGCCTAAGTCAGAGGTGCAAAACTACTGCAGTGAGTTCCAGGGTTGGTGCCTGTTTTTCATTTTCCTAGAATTTGGAGAGTGGTCAGGGGTGGTATCTACCTGGATTCTATTAAATTGAGAGTGTCCCCCCTCCTGTCAGGCCGGATGTGAAGGAAGTGTGATAAGGGCAGGAGCATATCACAGAGTCCTGTCAGGTTGTTAAGGAAATATAGCAAGAGCAAAATGCCTTTGTGGTCTCCAAGAGACTGTCCTGAGCCTAAGGTGAGAATGTCTCCCAGGCTGCCCATCTGCTGCCTCAGCAGGGGTGACAAAATCCAGTCTCCTGGGCTGCTGGCTCTAAACTGATCAGGATGTGAACATTGACTAAATGTGTTGTGCCCAGATCGCGAGGTCCCCAAAGACCACCAAGGAGCCGATTCCAATGCAAACACACAAGGGTCGTTTATTCAGGCTCGAGCAGGGACTGTCATCCGACACCGACGCAGAGGGTCAGGATTGAGAGCCCCGACTCTAAAACACCAGGGGTTTTTATAGAGGTTACAGCAAGGCACGGGGTTTCAAATCACATGCAAATCACACGATTGACTAGCATTTAGCAAGTTTTGAAAGTTTAAACCTGATTGGCTGTGCCTTGCGTGCTGAACTGCAAACGGTTGCTCAAGTCATCGAAAAGAACATCTGGGATACTGGGGTATTGGGGTAACTACTGATTAGCTGTTGCAAGCCATCGAGAAGAGCATCTGCGACATTGGGGCAGCTACTGATTAGCTGTTGCTAGGCGAGTTGCTAGGGGACTGCTGAACATTATCACAGGCAGGTAGCCAAAGTACATCTTGTGGTTCTTCTTGGAACTAGAGCTTATGTCCAGGCCACCTCACTCTAAGATGGGGCCAAATTTTAAAATGGAGTCACTCAGGCCTCACATTCCCCCCTTCTCGTGAGACTATCGAGGCCCAATCATGGGTCTCGGAGGGTTAACTCTATTGGGTTTTCTGATAGAAGTTGATACTGTGACCTGAGAGCCAATAATTGTACTGCACTGACACGTTCTTTAATGAATGAAGCCAATTTGTTAAGTAAGCAAGGTCCAAATATCAAGAGAAGTAGAAGAATAAGCAGAGGACCAAACAGGGTGGAAATCAGGGCGGTCAGCCATGGTGAGGAGTTAAATAGTGACTCAAACCATCCCCGGCCCAGTTCGCGTTTGCGTTTTCATTTAGCTAGGCCCTCTCTGACTTTTGCCATGGACTCTTTGACCGCACCTGAATGATCTATATAGAAACAGCATTCTTCCCCCAGGGTGGCGCAGAGCCCTCCCTGTTGTAGGAAGACCAAGTCTAAGCCCCTTTTATTTTGAAGCACTATCTCTGCCAGGGAGGACAGTGACTCCTGTAAGTGAGAGATCGAACTCTGGAGTCTCTCAATGTCTAAATCAATGGCTGTTCCTAAGTCATTATAATGTTTGTTTTACAAAATCAAGGAGGAGACCCCCACCCCAGCCCCGGCTAGGCCTAGACCTAAGAGCACTGTCAAAGTGATGGCTGTTATGGGCTCCCGCTTAATCCTAGTTGGGGCTTTACCTAAGTATGGGGCATAAATATCTTCTTCAGAGTGATAGATCAGCCTGGGAACTAATTGTACTAGTATACAAAAGTCACTGGTCTGGTTGAGCACTGTTTCGTGTGCACAAGGAGTGAGCCCCATGGAGCAGGCCCGTCATCCATCCGGGGGGGTATAAGGTATTTTCCAGAATCAGACCGGAGAGTCTGGCTACAAAGATGTTGCTGAGTAGTCAGGATGTTACCAATACAAGTGCCGTTCCCAATTACAGATTGTAAAGTCAGCCTACCTGTTCCCTTCTGTTGCCACCTGCATTGACTAGCATTTTCTGATTTAGTAAGGTTTCCAGGGAAAGCTATTCTTTCATAGTAGGGGAGCTTGATATCATAGCATAGCCAACAAGACCAGGTAAGGTCAGGCCGGGACGCATTTAGGGCTTTAAAAGTCTTGACCATAAGCTCCCAGAGGGGGTCGTTTTGGACCTGAACCTGGCTTTGTCTACTCTGGGCAGTAGGCAGAAGGGGCAGAGTAGTAGTAGGAGGCAGAGGAGTAGTAGGAGTAGGAGTAGTAGTAGGAGTAGGAGTAGTAGGAGTAGTAGTAGTAGGAGTAGGAGGAGGAGGAGGCAGAGTAGTAGGAGGCTTTAGAGCTGGGAAGATTGGTACAGGTAGGGGCCCAATGGGGCGAGACCATAGTGGCTTTTCTATTAGCCGGAGGATGAATAAGAGTCCTGGGTCATTGCTTGGTGTCTTAAGGCGGAGACCCCAGGTCTTGCCTGTTTCCCACCCAGAGGCCTGTTTACCTGTTGGAGTGAATTCTAGCCGTATCTGGGAAGTTCCGGGAATACGAGCCAAGGAAATAAGGTCCAGTCCCTTTTTTGGTTTCCACAACTCTCTCCACTGTGTAGCTGGATTTCCTACAACCATGGTTTCACAGCCCCGTCTGGCACAGAAGTAAGCCTCGGGACCTCCACATCGGGGGGGGGGGGGGGTTCTCCTACCCGCTGGGCACACATAAAATATCCTCCAGAGGCAACCAGGGTATACATCTGCCAACTTTTGGGTATGTGTCCAAGAATCCTCGGCCAGTTGGCAGAGATCAAACGTTAAGTGCTCAGGGAACCAGGGGACTCCAGGTCCCACGGTTGAAGCCAAAGTCAAGTGGAGCCCAGTCTCAGTGTTGATAATTACCCAAGTCTGATTGAAGGGGGCATGGGGATTTGTAGCTGTCACTTGGGTGCAGCAGGTTACGGTGACCACCCAAATCAGGAGCGTTTGAGTCTGAGTTTGAGGGAGTTGTTGTTGTCTTTGGATACCTGCCATGATGGGATGAAGTCTTTTAAAATGGCTTGTGGATCTGCGGGGCGGACGTGAGTATAATGTATCCATGAGGTGATCCTGTCGACTTTGAGAGTGGTGGGCGTGGTCAGGACAGTAACATAGGGTCCTTTCCAACGAGGCTTGAGGTTTTTCTGTCGATATCTCAGGACAAAGACCCAGTCCCCTGGCCGGTAGCGATGGGGATTGCGGGGTGGCCTGGACTCATACAGGGTTTTCAGTTTAGGCCAGACGTCTTCATGAACATGCTGGAGGCTTTTTAAAGAGGATAACAATTTTTGGTCATCAAATTCAACAAGTACATTTGATTGGAGGTTGGGGACAATGGGAGGGGGTATTCCAAACATAATCTCAAAGGGAGTCAGTCCCATCTTATAGGGTGAATTGCTTACCGTGTCGAGGGCAAAGGGGAGGAGAGCCACCCAGTCACCGCCAGTCTCTAAGGCTAATTTAGTTAAGGTCTCTTTTAGGGTCCTGTTCATTCTCTCTACCTTTCCTGAACTTTGGGGCCTATATGCGCAATGTAATTTCCAATTTGCCCCCAGAACTCGGGCTAAACCCTGACTCACCTTGGAGATGAAAGCAGGTCCATTGTCTGACCCTAGCATTACTGGGAAACCATACCTTGGCAAGATGTCTTCTAGCAGTTTTTTTGTCACAATCTGTGCTGTCTCATGTTTGGTAGGAAAAGCTTCTGTCCATCCTGAAAAAGTATCTACAAAGACTAGCAGGTATTTGTAACCATATTTTCCAGGTCTTACCTCAGTAAAGTCTAGTTCCCAGTATGCGCCAGGTCGGTCTCCTCTCAACCTGTTACCAGGGTTAGCCTTATTTGAAGTAGCATTGGTCAATTGGCAGGCCTTGCAAGTAGCAACAATGCATTCTATTTTGGTATTGGCATCTCGTATCTTGATTTCAGCATGTCTTAGGAGATCCTGCATCTTGCGGACACCCATGTGGGTGGATCGGTGCATTTTGGAGAGAACTTGTTCTCCCAAGGCCTCAGGTAGAATGATTTTACAGTCAGATGATTTCCACCATTCTTCGAGGCATTGGCTCATGGGCAGTTGTTTTATACAATTTAAGTCTGCCTCAGTGTACTGAGGTTTTCCTGGCAGAGCAGCGCCCCCTGGATTGGGCAGTTGAGTGGTCAGTGTTGGATCAGCCTCTAGGGCTATTTTTCGAGCTGTCTGGTCTGCCAAATTATTTCCTCAGGCAATCGGAGTATCGTTCTTTTGGTGCCCGGGACAGTGAATAATAGCCAATTTCTTTGGTAGCCATAGGGCCGCCAGTAGGGCGAGAATTTCCTCTTTGTTTTTAATAGTCTTTCCTTCAGCCGTTAACAGTCCTCTTTCCCTGTATATGGCCCCATGTATGTGAGCGGTGGCAAAAGCATACCTGCTGTCTATGTACACATTTAGCTTTCGGCCTTTTCCCAGAGTCAGTGCCTTAGTTAGCGCTATGAGCTCTGCTCGCTGTGCTGACGTTCCAGTGGGCAAGGGCTCAGCCCAAACGACCTCAGTCTCAGTGACCACAGCCACCCCCGCATACCTTCAGCCATTCTGGACAAAACTGCTCCCATC